CATGGTAAACTATGGCAAGCAATTGTTTGAGCCATCCCAACTTCTGATCCTCTTTTCATTTGGGCTGCAGGCAATCATCCCAGGGTTCAAGCTCCAGAGCAACTCCTAGCGAGTCTGTCGAACATGTTTTCAACATGGACCGTAGCCCAGATGGCGTCCGGACAGTATTTTGCGTCCTTCAAGTTTCAGATGCCCCCCACACAACATCTCAATGAAAACGATGTAGACAGGAACAGAATGTCCGCTGCAGGAAAATGAATCCTGCAATTATGGAATGTAAGTGACACGCGGAAGCCAGCCCTACATAAACCATATGTATGTATCATGAAATATCAGTGTATCTATATATATTATATATAACTAGACCCAGAAGCTCCTGCATCTACGAGTACTGTCATCAAATTCAGCGACCATGGGTCTCCCAAGTGGATGCACTGGTCCCAAAGTGGATCAGTTGGGAAAGTGGGTCCTATTCCAAAGGAGCAACAATCTTCTACACTCATGTTTCTTCAACAAATATTATCGCCTCACTCTGTTCGGAAGCAGCCGAGCGAACGTCGCTGCTAACACGCTCCCTTCCTCGCGCCAGGACCGGAAGGTACTTGACCACAGCACCTACGATGCGCTCGGTGACCACGCTGTGCTGAGTTGGTCAACCCGTGGGCATTGTCGATGCACTCACCACCGAGGTCCCGGTGACCGGATGAGGCGTTGATAAACAGATTTGGCGCTTGGAAATGATTCATTCGCAATATCATGACATGCCAGGGAGCATCGGAGAAGAAATGCATCTGAGAACTACAAGTGTGACTTGGCAGTGCCAAATCATGGCAATCTTGCAAGGTTCATTGGCGAATGAGGCGGCTGTGAGTTTCGTCCGTCTGAACCTCATGGCGAAGCTCCACCAGTTGGTCCATGATCTCCTCCGCCGGAACGACCGTCTCGGTTTGACGGTCGCAACGGCACGGCAGAAGAGTTTAGGTCCGTGGCCAGGTGATGTTCATCCCCAAACATCAAACACACTGCCGACCGACCGACCGACCGAGAGGTCAGAATACTCTGGGAGTTACAAAAAGAACCCGCATGGTTTGAGCGAAACTCACATTGACCTAGCTGAGCGCCTGTGCTGAAAAAGTGAAGGTTGATTAGGGTGGCTAACAGTCTAGTCAAAGGAAGTTTAGTGTACGAAACTTCCGTGTTACGGACATTCAAGAACTGTTCATAGACCACTCATCAATACACCACTCATCGTACACCACTCATCATACACCACTCATCGTACACCACTCATCATACACCACTTATCATACACTACTCATCATACACCACTCATCATACACCACTCATCATACACCACTCA